CGGGCAACCTCAGTGGTGTTTTGAACTGCCTGGTGCCAGGTTTCATCTTGCTCCTGCTTGGCAAAACTGAGCAGTAGTTAGCTTTGTACACCTTGTGTCGATGGAGCTTGGTTGAAATGTTCCATTTGAATAATTTAAAGGAGCAAACAATAAATCTGCTTGTATTAATCCTGGTTTTAGTTATTTGTCAGAAGAAAAATCACCTTGGTGGCAATTTAGTATTCAAAAGGTTCTCTAACTTATTTTTCCAACAAAGCTAGTAATTATGCCTTGTTTTTACTTATTTGAAGTTATGTGCCCTTAGCATATTTATCAGATTCTAACTATTCAACTTTTGTAGAGCTAAATACCACGTTTAGTATTTACATAAACAAAATTTACAGTTAAGCTTCAGGTGTCATGACAGCCATAGCTGGGGAAAACTAATTGTAGAACCCAAATTTCTGTAACAAGTAGAGAAAAAGTGAATCAGAACTAAATTATTGCACATAAAAAGGCAGTAAGAAGTGGGGAGGGGAATTCACGAAACTAAAGGTACTATCAATAAATGTGAAACGATGGCAATCTCACTTGGCACAATTTAACATTATAACGAAGTATTTTGGAACGTACTATATTGAAGTTCTCTTTTAAATTGATTTTGCAAATTCCTGTTTGTCAATATGTGGTGATTACCTTGTGGTGTTACTGAAAGTGGTACTTTAAAATACTGCTCGTATTCTTAGCAGAACTGCCCTAAACGTAAGGGAGAAGAAGGGACAAGTCTGCAGGGTAAAAAGAAAAACAAAAAAAAAACAACCCCTGAGTTTGTATTTTTCCTAATTTACACTGCTGCAGTTCTAATTGTGATTAATACATTCAAGTCACTAAAATGCCCTTGGTCTTCCAGTACTTGAAATGCTCACTTCAAGAGCAGAAAGAGCAGGCGAGGTGATGCCAGGGACTCGTCTGAGACGAGGTACTTGGCAAGGAAAAATGCCGTTCCCACCGGCAGATGTCTGAGGACAGAACTGGGTTGCTTGCAGCTAGTCGACTCGCTTCTCTGGCGTGCTCCACACCTCGCAGTACGGCTGCTTCAGTAAAATCTTTCTCTGTAAGGTATTTTCTGGTATGCGTGTCATCTTAAATTGTGAGAAGTTAGGGCTTACACAGCCTGCCTTGTGAGGCTGCTCTCCAGTTTGTTACGTGTCAGCTTCCTGACGCTTTTCCACATCAGTAGACTTGTGCTCTCCTCCTTTTATCTGATGTCCCCTGTGGCACAAAGTAATTCAGTTATTTATCTATTTGTAGCCAGCATATTTATAAATGCTTCCCACCCCCTTTTCCCTGGTTGTTTTGTTGTTTACATCTCAATTTATAATTTGGTTATCTTAACCTACTGCCATTTGTCTTGCTGCAACTCCTGCTTTTTGCCTGACCAGTCTGAGCTGCATAACAAAAGCTGTTTGTACTTTGAAGCATCCTGGTAACCTCCAATTCCCCTGTGCTAAACTTAGATGCAAACAAAATACTGCATGTCTTGTGGTGGTATCCAACAACTAGGTAAGCAAGGTAAAAGGAGAGGCGCTGTTACTACAAAAAGTTGAGAAATATTAACACATTTAGAGAAGTTTGAGTTGAAATGGAATCTTATAGTTAATAATTTTAATTCCTACCAATTAATGGGTGTGCAGTTGTGTTTTTAATTTTCTAAACTTTTTTTCTCAGTTGATGTAACTTTAGAACCACTTTGTGGTATCTTTTCTGTTTCCTTATGTGATGGATTTTGACTCTGTTCATCAGCTCTTCAGTGCTTTGAAGAGGTTTGTTTGTAAAACTCTGAAATACAAACTCCCAGGTATCGGTGTTTATCCTTCATTTAAATAAAATCTGTTTTTATTTATATGTAGTAGGAATGGATTCCTGGGAATAACACGTTGCACGCAGATCAGGAGATTAATTACACAGCTTGGCAAGGAGAGAGGTACAGTAAGCAACTTGTTCTTGAATGCAAAAGTTAGATCTGAAAATTCGTAGACAAGTGCATCCCTAAAGAAGGTGGAATCAGTAGGGTCACTTGGTACCCAAACCCTGCAGGGACACAGCCCCCCAGGAGCTGCTGTCACCTGGGGGAACTTCCCCAGGCTTCCCTCTTGCTGCCACTGCTGCAGCTCGGCACCCTGCAGCTCTGGGGTGTGGAGCTGGGGGTCTGTGTGTGACCTTGTGGGAAGTAAAGGGGAGAACTTGATGTGAAATTTGCCTGTGAAAGTATTGCGGGTTAATGGCATAAAAACATCAGAGAGAATTTATATAGCCAGGTGTTCACCTCTCCATCTCAGTCTGTCTGACTCGGCACGATTGAGCTACGCTAATAGAAGCAGACTTTCAAGAAAATAAATTCCTCGGAAGCAATTTGTTAGCAGCCTTTGCTGTTTAAAATTGTACCTGTTACCTGCTGAGTGATGCAAATGTGCCTTGCAAGGAGCTGAAGGGAAACTGTGTTGGTTTTTGACTGAATGTTGCACTGTCTGTAACAGTTTGCTCCTAAGTGATAACAAAGGCATCTTGGAACAAAATACTCTGTTTTTTTCAGGAAAAAGATACACTTTTGAAGTGCTGTTTACAGTCTCTAAAAGGGATTTTAAATTCAGAGTTCTTTGAAGTTTCATGCTGACAATTGTATTTTTAATGACTGGAGTTCTGGCAAAGTGGAAATTAATGTAGTTGTAAAATACAGTTCTTGAGGAAGATTTGGTTTTGGCGTTTCCTAACTGGTGACAGTTTTATGTCAGTGGGATATTCACAAATAGGGAACAATCGTTTATATGAATGAGAGACTGTATGTGCTCATGTATCACTACTGTCCCCCTCAGTAGGGTAATAGTTGGGATGTCTTGGTCATTCCAGGTCCATCGTTATATAGAATGATGTAAATTGCATTGTTTGCTTCCTTGTTTTTATTTTTTTCACATTAAACTTCTATAAAAGTTGGGCTTTTTTATGTACTGCCAGATTAACTAAAGGAACATGAAAGTGGTTGTGATTTTCTCTGTCCATCTCCCTTCTGTACCTGTCAGTGTTTTGTGGGCCAGGTTTTTTGCCTGTCTTGCTTGAAGTCATTTTATAGTGCTTAAATTGGCTTCAGTCAGGCTGCCAGAGAGGAAATAAAGCTCTTTTTGGGGACATTTAATCTCATTTGGGTTTCCTTAATTGAAGTCCCCAGCTCCTGTGTAGACCTGAGTGCCTAGAGACCAGGCGTCATCCAAGCAAGTTGGGCGCACTTAGAGCAGGTGGGACACAAAAATTTTATCACCTATCTTACCAGCCTACATCAGTCTTTTTGAGGTAATAATCAGGTGATTTTTCTGTAAAGCATTCATACCAGAATGGCTTGTGCTTGGTTTTGGGTGGCACTCGCATTGCTTGTGACGTTACAGTTGCTTGAGAGCTGGAGAAGGGAAGTCGGTGGCAGAAAAGTGTCTTGGCCTCACTTTGGGTAAACAACTGAGTGACTTTGAGTAGCTAAATAATAGAAACCTTACTAGTTTTGGGCCTCTGTGAATTTTTGGGGTGGAGTAGTGCAGTTCAATTCTCACTGCTGCCTCCTTCATGGAGGTGTCAGGAGCAGCAGCTTACTGGTAGTACTGCCTTTTTTTCCCATAGTCATAATTTGACGGTAAGGAAGACAAATTGGCGTGGGGAGAAGTACTTCTTGTGATGATTTAAAAAAAAAAAAAAAAAAGAAAAAAAGAGGTGGGTAGGGCCAAAAGAGAGCTCAAGAAGTGGCTCTGTGGGCCCCATCCATTTGTTTGACCACCTCTTGGTACTGCTCTGTAAGAGAAACACATAAGAGGAGGAAGCTCCTGACTAGGTTAATTCTGCGTTGTATTTTTTTGGTACTGATCCACTTCTAACTTTTATGCTAATTCACTGAACTTCTTGCTCTTCAGAATAAATGAGAAATGAGGCATTGAGTTTCTTCCAGGGTGAAAACTGCAGTGGGCACAGGTAGGGCTTCTGCTGTCCGTGTGGTTCTGTTTCAGCTACCTGCTTTCCCTCCCAGGGCAGAGGGAGAAGGAAATAAAAACAGGTCTGCAGGTATCCTGGCTCTTGGGGGTGTTCCAGCTGCACCCAGCACCCACTTTAAGCCTTTCACAGCTCCAGTTATGATGTTAGGGCAAGATGTCAGTTGTACTTCAGGTAATTGGTTGTAATTTTGTTGGGCTGAATGGGCATGCACAGAAATCTCCTTAAAAATAAATAAATAAAAAAAAATCCAAACCCAGAAGCTCTTGCTGGTGAGGTAACTCTTCAGCTTCACGACACTCCTGTGTTTTTCCCTGAAGTGTTGCTGACAGATGTCACTTAAATGTCTTGTGGTGGCTGCGACGTCGCGAGATGAGTCTGCACATTTCATACCAAAACTCTTCTGCTTCTGGATCTGTACTGTGAACTATAAAAATGTCAGCTGATGTATTTCCTGATTTGAGTACAATGTTGGGCAAACAGCCTGTCTAGGCTTCAGGAAGGTCTTCTCATGCTTTCTTTTCTGCTTTAATTCTGGTTTTGATTGGAGGTGGGAAGGAAGAGGGCTTTGGGCTAGCTTAGGAGTAGCTTATTTGGAGGAGGTAAAGCTGTTAATAAATTCACTTTTCTTTGCTGTCCTCTTTACAGTTATAAAGGAAGGCTATAGTTAAAGCTGTTTATCTTAAGGGAATCAATTTCAAGAGCTAGGCTCTGTTATGTTTTGTTTATTTCTCTTATGTCTTGGTAACATCAATCCAGATATTTCTTCCCTTGAAGCCTGCGGTGTCCAGAACACCTGATGGAAATGGTGTGACCTGGAGCTCTGTTGTGAAAGGGCAGAGAGGAAGTTCTGCTCTTAAATAGGATCACAGTGCACCGCAACGTGCTTGGTTGCTTTCTGCTTCAGCATCAATCCAAATGTTAGCAAGTGTAATTAGCAAGTTACAGAAAATGTACAAACTACTTAAAAAAAAAAAGGTCTGGGGAGATACCTGCAGGGGGTTTAAAGGCTAAGGGAAAGAGCAAAGAGCTGTTTGGGATCCAAGTGCTTCGGTTTTGCAGCAGCAGAGTAAAAGGGAGGGGTTGTGTTGGTGAATATGGTTCTTGAGGGTGCAAACAATGTCTGGGACTGGTCGCTGTTTCCCTTCCCAGGTGGCCCAGTGTTGTGCTTGGAGAACAGCTGTGTTCTGGCTGTGTGCTGGGCACGGGGATGTTTCTGTTATGTTGACAGCCAGAGAGCAGGCTGAAGTTGTGTGTGATGTTCTCGGGCCTCCTAGAAAGGTTGGGATTTGCTTTTTAAGAAATCAGTGGTTAATGACTCCTTGACAGATGCTGCCACGGGAATTAAAAGGAGCACGTTCTGCTTGCTATCATCACGGTTCTCTCTACTGTTCAGTTATGAGATCCTTTTATCTTGCCTGCTGCACACTGAAGTACAAGTTAAAATATGTTGTGTCTTTCAAAACAATAAGCAAAACAGATGAAAGGATGTCTGGGTGCACCGGTTGCTAAATCCATCATTAAACCTTTAAAAGGCTGTTTGCAGGTTGAACCAAGCCATTTAAGCAGACTATACAAAAATCTTCCCAGTATGTTACACAGAACTGTTTCGGGAGTTGAAATTTGTTTTCATTAAGTTAATGTTTAATAGATTTATTTTTTTGCTAACTGTGGAAATGACATACTTTATCTGCTGCCTCTGCAGCCCTGCTGACTGACACTCCTGCTTGTCAGGCTCGTTGTATGAAGGCTGCGTTCTGCTTGGAGACGTTTTGTAGTAGAGTGAGTACTAACACCTATTGTCAGCCCTGCCTTGGGAGCTCTCCCTCCACCTACAAGCAGCGTTACGAGAACTGAGAATGATCTGAATTACTCAGCTGTGCTGCTCAGTGGGCTGTGGAGCCACAGCGCGATTTGTTTTGGTTGCTGCCTGCCCTTCGCTGCTTTCTGCGCAAGTGGGACCTCATCCCTCCGTGCTGGCTGGAGGAATGAAGGGGTCAGCGTGGCTTTCCTGGAAGGTGTTCAGTCCCATTTTTAGAAGTGTTTGAGTGTTTGGTGGTAGAAGAGTGGGGGCAGCTACACATTGGTCAGCATCACCATGTGCCTGCCCCCACGGAGGAGCAGCCGGTGCTGTGGGTGCTGACAGACTTCAGGGCTGGTCCAGCTGAAACCTGACAAACCTGAGGGCTGGTGCAGCTGAAGACTGATGAGGCTGAGCTGGAGCAGTGCCCAGGTGTGATCGTGGGGCTGAATCCTGCTGGGCTGGGAAGCAGCCCTGGCAGAAGGGCCAGGAGATGGGCAAGGGACATGCTGAGCTGGGAGCGTGGCCACCACAGGCAGTTTGACACTCCTCAGTTTTACAGGGGTGAGGCTGCTCTTGGGATGATCTTTCCCAGGGATGATCTTTCCCGTTACTCTGCTTTCCCCAAGTGTCTCAGAGACGTTGAGAAACTGGGAGAGAGTCTGTCAGCGGGCTGCTGGAGTGGCAGCGGCTTGGACTCCTGTCCGGGGAGATGGGGAGGGTGCTCAGGAAAAGTCCTTCTGAGCAGCTGCCTGTGAAGAAACAGCCCCAGGGACACCCGTGGAAAACAGCGCGGTAACGAAACAAATTCTGGTGTAGCTGAATTACCTGCTCAGCGCTGCGGAGCTTTCCAAGGCGTACTTTAATGGTAGAATGACAGATTGATTCAGTACGTATTAACTCAGGCAAATCACACCAGATATTTGATTGCACTCTTGTCTTAATTCTAATAGCGTTCACTGGGGAGCCCGATAGTTTGATTTAATGTGGCTTCATCTGCTACGGAGAGATTCCCAAAGCTGCTCTTCCAGCCGCTGATTTGTTATGTTCTAATTTTGCAGGAATTGCATTATTTTCCTTTCTGCAAGATCTCAATATTTAAGAGTGTAATTCATTAAATGCCATTTACATATTTTTAAAGATCTTGCTTTCGTTCGGGATGCTTTTTGTAAATAATTTCTGTAGAATTAAAGAGGAAGAACTCCTGTTCTTGAGAGCCCTTGCTGAATGCAAGCCTTCGAAGCGCTGGTTCTGCTGCTGGGGGTGCTGGTGCCATGCTGCTGAGGCAGGCTGGCGGTGGGGAGGGCACCCCAGGAAACCGAAGGAAGAGGAGCAGCGATGTTTGCCTTCTGCTCTGGGATGTTTTCCAGTAGTTCAGTGTGTGGGAATGGCTGGAGGATAGCCCGATGACCCCAGAGTAGGCACAGTAGGGTTGTAAAGGTCAGTGAGAGCCGAGCTTTAGGGCAGATCTCAAGTTGATACCGTGCTGTCAACCATCCTGCCTTCAAATTTGGGAGCTGGAGATGAGAATGCTGCTCTATGGGAGGAGAAGGAAACATCTCCTGGCTCCACGAGAGCCTTGCAGCTCTCTTATTAGGAGCCTGCAGCTTGTTTTGTGTTTGGTTTGCATGGATAGAGGAGATCTAAGATCTTGTCCTGGTGAAGGCTGCCACTCCTCTTCATTGGGCTCACAGAAAGTTACGTGTGCCAGCTGAGCCATTCGGAGCCTTGGCATGAGACAGTTTTGTGATGTTTAAATGAGAAAACTGCACCAGAGGGTCTGAAGCGTGCACGCATTGCTTTGTGCTGCTGCCAGCTTCTGGCTTGGGGGTAGGTAGCCCCTCAGCTGACGGTGTGCTGGGGATCCTCTTGCTGCCCTGTTCATCTTGGGTTTCTTCAGATGGCACCAAAATGGTACGTGGAGAGCAGCACAAATGGTAACTCTGGAGTTGTACTGGTTTTCTTCCAACAAAGATCCACAAGTATCGATGAAAAACCTTTGAGAGTCCTAAAAAGTCCTTAAATTCATGCATTTACTGTGGGCTGCACCTAACCTGAAAGGATTCTGCAGCAATTCTGGCGTCTGTCCCTTAGCAGTCAAATGAAGTGATGCTTGTTTGGGAGTCTGTGCTTTGTAAGTGTTACACTGCGAGGACTCCTTGTCACTCTTAACTGGCTGAACTTCTAAAGGCAGCAAGCAGGTAAGAACTGCTGGGGAAACAGGAATGATTAAATTAGCTATTCTTTTGACTTGACTCTCTTGTTTATAATAACACTTTAAAGAACTTTGTGTGCGTTAACTGATTTTGCATAAAATCTCTCTATGCCAGTTTTTAATGGGTTTGGTTTACACCAGCCCTAATTCCCTACGAAGGCTGTTGTGTAGTTTGAATGACCTTTTCCTGGTCTGAGAAGAGGAATGTGCTGTTGTCTGAACAAAGGGTTCTTTTCATCTGCTCTGAGTCCTGCCTTGCGTTCACGGGAGCTCTGAGGTTCCTGGCTGCTAGGAACCCCCCAGCGATGCGAAGTGATGGAGGACACGTCTTCTGTCACTGACCTGGCAGCAAGCAGCCTGCTGTCCTCTAAAACGCAGGGAAGACTGAACTCTTCTATCTGGGTTTTGTGCAGACATCAGGAAAACAGTAGGAGTGTAGGATGTCTTTGTACGTGCTGCTATATGCTGAATTTTTTCACAATAAACTATTTTTATCTTGCAGGAACATCATTTGCAACGGGCTATCTCAGCACAACAAGTCTTCAGAGAAAAGAAAGAGAGCATGGTTATCCCAGTTCCTGAAGCAGAGAGCAATGTCAACTATTACAATCGTTTGTATAAAGGAGAGTTTAAGCAACCAAAGCAGTTCATTCACATTCAACGTAAGTTAAAGAGTGTTGGTTTTTCCCTTTAATTACAACTAAGTAATCTTTAAACAATCTTGAGGACAACATTGCTACCGTATTCAAAAACTCAAAAGTCCAAGGGGGATTTAAAAATGTAAATTTCCAATTTCTTCTGTAAATTTCTGGAGGAATTGAAGGGTAAAGATGGTTTTTGTCTTCCCTGAAGGTATTATGGGCTCTGTGCTGTTACTGTATATTGCAGTAGCTGGCAAGCCTTGTCTTCGATCAACTCAAAAGTTACTTCAAAGCCCATTAATTCAGAAGTTCAGTATAAATGGGGATGAACCAAATAGAAGAGGTTTTGTAATGAAATCAGCCTGGATTCTACTGATTATAACAAACTTTCTGAAGGTTTGGTTTCAGCTGTGCTAACTGAAATTCAAGGTAATCACTACAGCATGCATGACTTTACTGGATGTGTTATGGGTAGCAGTGTTTTTTCTCAGTGTTCTGCTAAAACAGTGAGTTTCCTTCCTGTAGGGAACTCTGAGCTTGCTTTGTAGGTAAGAGGAAGCATTTTTTTGGAAATGTGTGGCTTCCTAGGTTTTAGATGATCTGAAGGCCTAGTTAAGCATCCCCAGTGGTCTCTGGAGGTTCAGCTGACAAGTGACAGTGTTTGTATTTCAGTAGCTCAGTTGTTGCTTGGCATGCAAATCATGTTTGTCCTCTGCGGCATGTCATTCTAGGGGCTTGTTTGGGGACGTGGACTTCCCCTAGAGTTCATCTCTGCAGCAAAACCTTCGGTGCAGTTATTGTTGTGGTTTGTTGGTCTTCATACTGAAGCGCAAATTCAGTACCAAGTTCTTGTGGAGACTTTCTTAGCACTGATTCACGGTTTTGTTTCGTAGTCATATTGGAAAGACTGCTGACAGGGGTGTGGGAAGCATCATGAACGGGAAGTGTACTCACTGCTGTTGGGTTTTGTGCAAGCAGTAGTGATGTTATCCAGCTTCATCTTCCCAGACAGCAGTGAGCATCCGTTCAGCCCTTTTTTAGGGATCAACAACAGGAAAATCCTTTCATCCCTGTTTCAGGGATCAAAACAGGAGGCTGTTGATCTCCGTGTAGATCTGAGCAGATCAGGCATTTCATGTTTGCATGCTTTCTTCCTTTTGGAGATGCAGCTGAACTTGAAGTTAGGCAAAGACATGTAAACCCAAACCCTGCTGGGTATTGAAGATCCTTGTGCCATTTCTCAGCAGCATGGTGAAGTCTCCTGTTTTTCCCATGTGTTCACAAAATAAGGAGGCTTTTGGAAATAACATGCTCAAGGTTCTCCCTGGTATACTAGAGATCGTACCGGTAATGTGAGAAGCGAGCTAAAGGAAATGAAGTTTTTCTCTTTTTAATAATAGAAGAAAAACCTGCGAAGCGAGGCAGGTTGACTACACTGACACAAAGCTGCTAAATAAGGGAAGTGTTTTATTGTTTGGGCGGTGCCAGAAACACTGTAAATGCTGTTAACAAATCTGTTCAAAAGCGTTATTGTGTCAAACTGTACTTCGTATTGTTAAGATTCACAGCCTTTCTGGACAGAATTACAGGAGGTATTTGAGCTGAAAATAAACATCAGCTAGTGCTTCGGGATAACTTTTCCCACATAGTCTGGTTGCGGTAGGTGTGATACAAAGCTGCTTTATGCTGCAGGAGCTGCTGCGAAATTCTGTTCTAATGCTAAAAGCACAAAGAGCAACAACACTTGCTGTTGTGGTGTGACTTATATAAACTGCCAGACGCCGGGAGGCCACATACCATACTCCATACTTGTGGCTATTACGAACAAATAACAAGTAAATCATCTTGCAGCCCATTCGATAGCTGAGGATTTTAGTCTTTACTAGTGTAATGCTTTTATTTGTACCGCTAGCTCAAAGTAGAGAAAAGTGAGGCATGAAATTCCTCAACTGGCCTGGATCCTAGGCATGAGTGGAGCTGGGTGGCACTAGGGCGGGTGGCTTTGAACTGAACATGAAACACAACTCTTGAGCTATCCTAATTACGCCAGTGTGATTGATAATCTTCCCTGGATGTTTGTAGTTTTAGTAGCATTGAGATAGATTTTAAATTGCTAATAAGCAACAGAGAGTAAGTCACTACACTTGTATCTATCCTAGAATTAAAGCTGAGTGTGTTTTAGAAAATTGGTGCTGCTAATGGCAATAGGAAGAGCAAGAACTATTTTGTTAACGTATGTAAATGTACTCGGTGTGTATGTACATGTGACTAGAAATGCTGTATGGAAAACACATCTGTCATAGTCCAACGGATCTGACTGGATATGGGTGTGCAAGTTCACATCTTCATGAGCTGCAGGGCTCGTCAGTTGTCTAAATGAAATTCAATAGTGGGCAGGCTTCTGTGTCGGGAAACTTGTGTCACGTTTAGGGTTGGATTGGATCAGACCCCAGTGTGACAGGAAGGCCCACATGATGATTTGAAGTGGTGTTAAATAGAAGAGAAGACATGCTGACCCTTTTCAAGCTGGCATGCAGTAATTTAACAGATGCATTTGTGGTGACTGTGGTCAGCTCAGGGTTTGAAGTTGGGGCTTGACCTCTACATGGTCATGAAAGTGATCCAAAAAATCCTGGGATAAAGTCTGTTTGGGCTTACTTTCTGGCAGGTCAGGCTACTCAATCCGCATGTCCTTTCTCCAGATTTTCTCTGTAAGCATAAAACTAAAACCTGGTTGTAAGGGGGATGTGAGAAAACAGAACGGAGGGGGACACACAGGTGGATGTTTGCATGTAAATAACATTTTAATAATCTTAAAAAAAAAAAAAAAAAGAAAAAAAAGAAAAAGGGGAGGTAATACTACTTATGATAAAGAATTTTTCTACATTTTTAGAGGCTGCTGTAACAGGAGCTGTTCAGCCTGTGGCCATGTAAAGTGGGCATTTGCATGATAGCTGCCTGGCAGAGGTGTTCTGGTGCAGGTGGGCAGTGTTAAAGCCCTGGTCCGGTCAGGTGCCGCAGCCTTGCCGTTGAGAAGGCGTTTTGCTGCTTTGTGAACTACTTTGGATATAATTACCATGACCTATGCTAACCCACAGTAAACGATTTGATGCCATCAGAATAAACACAGCCCGCTCTGTTCTGACTGCCAGCACCCTCCTGGTGGAAGCTGTGCTCTCAGCTGGGCCAGCACGGGGAATTGAGCTGGCAGAAGGCCTATCTGGTTTTTGGTGGCTGTCTGGATCTATCAGCTCGCTGTCTTGGCTCATCGTGGGACTCCTGGTGCCAGCACAGGGAAGGTGGAGCAGTGTGTAGCTCGCCGGGGAGGGGAGGCTCGTGGAGGTGCTTGTTTGAGTGGTAACTCACCTAGGTCAGCTTAAACTGACTGTTGAACCACAGCCTTAATTAGTTAAGTAAATTCAATTAGATAATTTTGTGATGTTAAACCCAATTTCACGTAACTTAACTTTAAAGCAAATTCCATTTCCATAGGTTAGTATAAACTCAGTACTTAAGGGAGCTCGTGTAAACAAAAGCAAATCCCTCTGCGAAAGGCACAGCCGGCAGGAGTGGTTACAGTGGCAGAGGGTGTAAGGTAGGGTGGTAGTTTTGCAACAGCAATTAGCAAGCCAGCAAGTTTTGAACATTTATACAAGGTGAGGTTTAGTGATAGGATCACCTTCTGCAGCACCCCACAGAAACGTGCAGCGTGGAAGAACACAGAAGTGTTGGAGCAGGAAAACTCGATCCATCTAGCCAGCCCCATGAACTACCAGCAGGAAAGGCAGGGAGGTAGAGTGCATGAACCAGGAGGAAGGCTGCATTTTGTGAGACTTGCAGGCTTCCAGCAGGTAGCTGAGGTTTTGTGGCCTGCAGTGAACCAGGAGGTGGAATGCGAGTGTTGTTGCCATTGCTTCAGCACCGTTAACCTGCCCTTCTGCTGCTTGCGGTGCTTCTCATGCTACTCACAAGCCAGAGAGTGTTGCTAGGAGGTATAAAAAGCAGGGCTACTACTGCTCTGACAGCACCTGTGTGCTTTTCTAGAGAAGAATGAGATGGGTTTTATTCAGCCTAACTTGCTTCTGACAAGTGCATACTGGATACCTTTTATCTTCTGAGTCTTGTCACTTTGATTATGTCAAAATATTCTCGTGGAGTTGGAATTCAGGGCGTAGAGTTTTTTGATTTTTAAGGATTACAGTTTTTTTCCCTGTTTTTTCAGCACTTTTTTGAGATGTTATAGATTAAAAAAAAATGACTGCTAATATAGCTGAGGTTTTATCAGCAAATAACTTATTTAGGAAGTTAAGTTGATTTGATGTGTTATTTAGGAACAGGGTTCAGAGGTTTCTTAACGACAGCTTTACAGAGCTCTGCTTTCAAAGAATGAATAGTCTGGGTCAGTTTCTGTTTCAAAACTGTGATTTTCTCCCATGGAAGCTACAGGACCCGAATGCTGTAAGCTGTAGTGTGAGTCTGATACACGGCTGCTGATGTTCAGAGGGAGAACCGGGTGTCACGTACCCAGGGACAGTGGGACGTGTCCGAACAGAATCTGCACGGCAACTTTATCGAGTTGTAGTATTAATGATTCCCTGTAATACACAGCCATACCGCAGTAGTAGTATTAATTTCTTCTTGAAATCTATTTTTAGACCGTGTTTACAGTGTGTGTTGAGCCGGTGAAGCCTTCTGAGTAAGTGTCGTTCTCAGAATTAGTACAGCGAAGCACCGCCTCTTCTGGGAGGTAGCAGGGCACAGCTGAAAATGGGAAGGGATCGCGTCCTAGCACTTCTCAGATGTATCTGCCTCTGGGAGTGCCTCTCCTCTGTCTCCACGCAAAGCCAAACAGATTGTTTTACACGCTGCCAGTGGTAAAAGCTAATGCATTGCGTTGGAATATAGACAGAGTGGTCTTGGGCTGGCCTGAGGAAGGAATGTCTTGCTTATTTCATCGTAGTTGACTGCCCAGACCAGGTGCTTTAAATGATTTTTAGCATCATTCTGCTGATTCTGGTGTTTCCTGGGTCCCCTCAGAGTGCACCAGAAAGCTTGGTAGCAGAGTTGTTCTCTAAGTTGACACTCGGATACAGCCATCACTTAGGAACGTAGAGATAAGATAGTGCTTTGATTTGTGGTCCAGTACAAATAGAATATATTTCAACAAGCCTTCACTGCTGTTGGTGCAATAATTATTTGAAGCGTTGGAGTTAGTGTTTCACCCTTTGTAGTTTCATATAAAATATCAGTTGCACCTAATAAGAGTTGTTGCTGTATAGGATTTTCTCATACTTCATGTAAACAAAATTGCTGCTATGTTATCTGAATGATGATTTCCTTCTGCTTTTCGTAGGACCAGAAACTTTGCCTAAGTATGGAGAATGACTAGGGCAATGTGTAATAAAGCTATGGGCTTTGCTGTAAAGTCAGGAGCGTACTGTTTGAAGAGCATGGAGAAAGATTCAGGTTCTACGTCTAGAGTTGAGTTGCTTTTGGAGAAAAAGTAACACGCCTTCCCACAGGATTGGTCTAGCCTTGTTACAGTTGGTTACACAAGCTATTTTTTTTTTTAATTTAGCCTATTAAATATTTTAATAATTTAATTTAGTTGAATTACTTAAAAACGGGCAACTGAAATTGTATTGGAACTTCCATTTAAGTACTTTCCTCTGAGTATGGGATTTGACTGAAAATTATCTTAATTGTTAAGAATCTTACTGTGATATTATGGAGGAGCTGTATTATAACAGCACAAAAAAGCACTTTTGCTTTTGTTGTGCAGGGAGATATTAAAATTTGTATGCCCCTATGGTAATTTTTAGAAGTAAAGCTTTTTTTCCTATCACCCCTTCAAGCTGCATTAAAAGAAAACGAGCTTTCACTGATTACCCCTTGTATAGGAAGCCAAAGACAAGAAACTTCTGAACACTGTCTTAATTCTTCTATATGGGGACACATTTTAGTGTAAAGAGAATTGTCATGCCAGAGGTCTGCTGATTTTATGGATGGCTTTTGATTACTGGTTGTCAGATGCGTGCTCTTGTATTCACTTATTTTGTGTGTGTGTTTTTGTTTCAGCCTTTAATCTGGACAATGAACAGCCAGATTACGATATGGACTCTGAGGATGAAACCTTACTGAACAGACTAAATCGGAAGATGGAAATCAAGCCACTGCAGTTTGAAATAATGATCGACAGACTTGAAAAAGCCAGTTCTAGTCAGGTATCTTGCTGCGCTAAGAAATGGCTCAGCTATTTCTCATTTCTGGTGGGGTGGTTCTGTTTGTTTTTTTTTTTTTTTTTTGGTTGGTTGGTTTAGTTTGGTTTTTGTTTTTCAGTTCATTGTATTTCCTGGTAAGTGGGTAAGAATGTTTGTGCGAGTCTGCAGAACTACAGAAATTTCATTGCTGTCTTTATTGGTAACTTAGGAAAGTAAGTGGAGAGCAGGAGTATAGGTGAGTGGGTGCATGTGTGGTGGTGGGGCTTGGTATTAAACTTTTCAATTCCTAATCGTAATAAGTTACAAGAAGACAACTTAAAACCCATCTACTTTTACCTGCTTTGGCAGAAAAGGAGCTGATAGTGGTTGGTGGGTGTACAGAGGTGTCTATAAATGTGTATGAGAATCCAGATTGTTTTCCTTTCACTTGGTACAGTGGGCATTGACTTCAGTTGAAGGTAAGAGACTTTGATGCACAGACAGCAAAGCAAAGGGTTTAAGACTGAGCCCTTGTGGTATAAACTGCAGTGGTACAAGAAAGAAAGTTATTCTCCAGGTCAGACTCAAAGGCTGGTTTCCTTGCTGTAGGAACAAGCACGTGGTGCCAGTTATTTTATCAGAAGGGTGCCAGTATTTTAGGCTTAAGTTCCTGAGCTGTTACAGGAGACCATTGTCTGGAGAAAGATCTTGAATTCAGAAAATTGCTCAGAAACTGTACCTGACGGATCAGTTTCTGACATGTAACTTTGAAGTATGTGGAGTTTATTTCTCAGGGAGTTGAAGAGTTCTTACACCAGAAAGTGTATGTTTAGGGAAACAAATAACAGAAAAGCCCATATGTGCACATGAAGCGTTATAATTGCTCCTTACAATATAGCCTCTCTTTTGAAGGTGTGTAAAGAGAAATCCCTCTCTATATAAGAAATTTTCATGGGACTCCTGTAGTTTTTTCTGCTTAACTTGAGAGATTGCAGTGTGTATGTTTAAGCTGCTTCTGCTCTTGGGCTGCAGAAATTTTCAGCTGACTTTGACTATGTCTTACCTGAGCTCTGTGATAGGAATGGTAAGACAAAAAACAACTCCTCCAGGTTATTGGAGCTTGAGAAACAAATCAGTTTTTGTCAGTATGCCCAACGTTCCTTCTAGACCTGCATGAAAGGCTCTGAGGGCTGATGATGCTGATCCAGAAAAGCTGGGAATTAAGATAGGAAGACCAACTGGTGGCCTAGGTGCTTGGATTTAGATCAGTGTTCTTTTCTCCTTTTCTCTCTTTTGCTGGAAAAAGGATCAAGTTTACTTAGAAAGTGTAGAAGACATGTGAGTGACTTTCTTCTTGCCCCACCCCATCTCAATTGCACTTTCTGAATATTCTCTTTTAGCTTGTAACACTTCAGGAAGCTAAATTGCTGCTAAATGAGGATGACTACCTTATTAAGGCTGTATATGACTACTGGGTAAGAAAGCGTAAGAATTGCAGAGGACCATCTCTCATCCCTCAAATCAAACAAGAAAAGAGGGATGGCTCCACCAACAATGACCCTTATGTTGCCTTTCGGAGGAGAACTGAGAAGATGCAGACAAGAAAGGTAATGTTGTTTTAAATCCTCTACACTGGTAAGAACCATTTGATTCCTTGCCAGCATATGGCAGGATCAGTCCTTTGCTATCCATGGTTAATTGATTTCATTGTTTGTCTCTATTAATAGTTGTGATGTTAGATGACCCACCTAAACTTCAAACCTGTTAAATGATGTAGTCAGTTTCAGTCTATTTCTAATCTGTTTTCTATGTCAATTTACAATTTGTCCATTTTCTAGAAAGCTGAAAGTCAAAGGCTGACTTATAGGTTTGCAGACTACGGTGGAAGAGAGGAAAACTCTTCCATTTACCACCTAGTAAACAATTCAGGTTTTGTATTTGTGGCACTTCACCATTCATATCAATTCATGCTAAGACTGATGGAAAAGGCTGAGTAATTAAAAATCTGTACAAAAGTGCACGCAACCTCACAGTGTATAGAATCAAAGTGGAAAAAGCTTTAGGCACCAAGACCTGAGTTCCTTGTCCTGACAAACTACCACTGGTTTGGTAGGTAATCTGAGTGGAGAGAGCATGGGGAAAATGAGTGAAGAGTTCCTCTTCAATTTAATCTTGAGAGCTGGTTTTCCTTTGCTTTTTGTGGCATCTACTAATGAGGTTATGTGCTATGAAAAGTTTCTTCTGAATGTACTATTGATTCTCACTTGCAGCAACAGTCTGGTGGTGTTTTTTTCCAAAAATGTTGCTAGTTATGCCTCACAGGCTTTTCTTTTGATGTGAAATTTTCTTAATCTTTCAATAGAATCGAAAGAATGATGAAGCATCTTACGAGAAGATGTTGAAATTGAGAAGAGAGTTTAGCAGAGCCATAACAATTTTGGAGATGATTAAGAGAAGAGAGAAAACAAAACGCGAGCTATTGCATTTAACATTGGAAGTTGTAGAGAAAAGGTAAACTTTGAAATTGTCTGTATAAAGTCATGTATAATGCTAAGGCCTTAATTTTCATTAATTAAGTTTGAAGATACCTCCTGTAATTTCTTTCTGTATGGATGTTAGCCTTCAGCAAACATGCGTGGCTGAAGGCTTACATTACTCTGTAGAGTTTAGAAGCTAAAACAGAAGGGTTTTGTGCAGCCTGTTACTTGTTCTTCAGGCATTTCCCAGTGGAAAAGCACTGTTATATTTTTAATCATGTTTCTTTTTTTTTTTCCTAATTGAAGGTACCATCTAGGTGATTATGGAGGTGAAATCCTCAATGAAGTGAAACTTAACAGACCTGAAAAAGAGATGAGCACAACTCCATCCACTCTTCATAATGGAAATCATCACAAAGTTCAAGAATGTAAAATTAAGGTAACCTTTCTTCTGCTGCAAGTCCGTTGTTACCTGTTATTCTGGACATACCCTGCAGATGTATGCATTGGAAGACTGTCCAGCAATCTGTTATGCTTGTTCAATGTTTGTCCTATTTCTCACCTAAGTTTTAAATGGCCTGCATCACCAAAACAGCAGCTTTGTAGTAGCCACTTTCTCACAGTTCTGTCCATTTCATTTTAAGATGATGTAAGTATGAATGCTTTATGTGGGAATCAGGACTTCAGGACTGCAAAATAAGGGGAATTATTGTTCCTTTTCCCTTTGACAGGAGACTAGAGCACTGAATTTTTCTGGTAGTGTTGTCTATGAATACTGATTAGCCTTCAGTGCAAAGAGTCTGATGGCTTAACTAGAATGGTCAAGGATTTTAGAAGCTGTTCTGAACTGTTGAAGTGGTAATGCTTGCAGACAAGAATATAACTGCTTTATCTTGTTGCAAGCAAAAAAAAAAATGTTGCGAGCAACATTGGTTTTAAAACAACTTAATGGAATTTGTAATAGCAGTTGCATTACTACAGGGGCACGTACACTTCTCATTAGGAAGGTATTTATGCCGTGTGGTTTGCAGGTGTAGCAACACAGGAGCTATTCTTCAGTATTTTGTTTTTTTTAAATTCTCTTGTGGACAGTGAAACAATTACTTAGCAGTCACCTTTTCCTGCTACAGTGTCATCTTACATTTTAAATATGTAGGAATGTAGTAGATTATATGGGGGTTACATATTGTTTAATGGTGGTAGGACTTTTTTAGCTTTCTTAGTGCACAGTAAGTAGAGAGCTTTATGTTTAGTATGTATAGAATACGTGAGCACACTGGGAATGAAATGAAATACAGGAAGAACCTGCATGGAGACATGCTATATCACCAGTCTGTAGCAAACTACTGGATTCTTAGTGTTACTACTCACTTTTACAAGGTTGTATTAGTTGTAAGCTTGTTTTCACTTGTGTTTGTGTGACTTGATGGCTGTTACTGTATAATCATATTCAAATCAAGATACGTTTTTTGAGAGAGAATCTGACATACAAGTTGTTAGGAGTTGAACACCTTTTTGAAGTTTGTATTTAGCACCTGCGACACCCAGTGGTCACTAAATGCGATACAAATCCCTCTCCTTGGTTCTCTTTTGTTCAGCCTTCTGTTTCTCATCTCCGGTTGTGCAGCTGAGTTCTGTCACTGGAGTTAGTTTTAGTCAGCTATTGAAAAGTGGTAATTTGGGGAAAATTTAAATGCTTTAAAAACTTCAATGGCTTTTACTCTTTAATTGAAAATTTTGGAAGGAAAAGTAATCTTTCTAATTTAAGAGCTTTGAAGTTTAAAAGCGTTTTTGTTCAAGTGAACAGTTTAATATTACTCGAGCTGCTTACTTCAGAGGACTTATGTCAGCAGAACCTTAAAAAATAAACAATGTAAAAACTAATAGCATTAAATCTCAGAAAAGATGGAAACAATGCAAGAAACAGGAAACTTAACGTTTCTTGTGAACAGTTTTGAGCAGTTGAGAAAATTCTAAGTGATTGGTGTAGAAAACTGAGGCTTAAGAAAATAATTGGAATACGATTTCCAATTACAATATACTGAGTGTACTTAAAAGAAAAAAAGGAATCTTAACTTAGTCATTTAGCTTGAAAGCTTTCAGTTTATTAATAAACCTTTCTAAAGATAACTAGAGGCAAGTTTTGGGTTTTTTCAGACCTTTTCAATAAATTTTGCAATGTGTGTCTGAAGTGGTCCGCAAAAGCTGCATGTTGAGAGGCTCTGCAAGATGAGCAGTAATGTTTTTCTGAAGCACAAGATGAAGAAACGAGATTAATCACGTCATTTGCTGAACTGTTGTGTGTTCTTCACAAACAGCATCCTCATCATTCATCTCTAAAGGAGGAGGTATCAGATGTTGTCCGTCAAAAGAAGAAGTATCTAAAGAAACCTAAAATAGAGTGTGTGGTAACTCCTCAACAGCCCTCTGCCGAGCCCTTGCCTGTTATCAACAAGAGTGATATTAAACAGTATGACTTCCACAGTTCAGACGAAGATGAGTTCCCGCAGGTAATAATCTGTTAGAAAATTTTAGCCTGCAGAAAATGAAAAACTCAGCTACCTGTAATTTGGACAGCATAGTTTGAAATAGAAAAGAACTGTTGGATGGTTGATTTATACGTAAGACAGTTGCATTTTTATTTTTTTTCTTTGTGTTGTAAGCTATGTTTCAGAGAAGATTGTATTTATTATATAAATGTCAATTCATATTATATACACTTGTGGAGTATAAAATATCTCATATAGTATAAAATATAATTAGTTATATTAAGTATTTTATTACATGCCTGTGATATACATATGGCAGTTGGAAGAATGACTTTATTTTCTGGTTTAGGTACCCTCACCAATATCGGAAGCAGAAGAGGAAAATGATCCTGATGGACCTTGTGCTTTCAGGAGAAGAGCAGGATGCCAGTATTATGCTGTAAGATATCTGCTGTTGGATGTAATGTGGTTTTTTAGCTTTGTACTTTTAATTTTAGTGCTAATATAACAGTTCTTCTGTTTCCCACTTTCACTATCAAAGCCTTGATGATTTGGTGAAACTCTGGAAAAAAAAAAGTTTTTCACAGAATATTTCTCCTTGTCTATTCCAGTTACCTAAAGGTAATCCAGTGCACTGCCAGCAGCCCAATTAAGCCATTGCCAAAAAGGAACAATTCCTCCCAGCTCCCTCACTTTTCCTCACACATCTTTTTTTCCAGCTTCTAAAGCTCGTTAGCTACTAGTTGTCTCAGTTCTCAGACCTGCTGAGAGATTCTGCTGAGGCACTGAGGAAATCTTGCTGTGGAAGTGGAGAGATCTAACCTGTTAAGGGTTTTCTGTGGAGTTAGGTCAAAACTTTTATTTTGGAATCATTGCAGGCTTCTCTCTTGCGTAGAATTAATGCTTTTTTCTCCTTACTCTCTGAGTTGACTTTGCCAACAGAAGTCAAGATGACTGAAATCTGATTTTGATTTTCTGTTACTTTTCTATTGCTCTTTAGAAACAGGTTATTTAAGTGGCTTAATATTAGGCTGCATTTTTAACTACTGGAGCCATTTGCTTTGTTTCTCTTTATGTAAATTGAACTGTAGCACTTCAGTTGCTGTAAGTTTCATTTGATCATGAAAACTGATTATTTTAAAGAATATTTATTACTGTCACATAAGGTATTTCAGACAGCACACCGCATTTTTGTTAGTAAAGGTTATGCAGCTTTGAGTTTATTATAAAGAAGTTTTTCATGGAGTAATAAAACTACCCTAAGGTAAGTTGATTCAGCAAGTACACTGTCAGGATGTCAGGTCTGGTAATTGAATGCTGTGTATTGAACAAAGACCGTGCAGATCAGCATCTGTTACCCTTGGCAGTGTGGGTTTCACAAGTAAGGCTAAACTGTGAATTTAGGATCCCCTTTTGAAAAATATCTATGCACTTAAGTTCCACGTTGTTTGACTTGGGAATTGTTGTCACTGCTTTGTACAGCTGATGCAGTGGGATCCAGGTGGATGAACAGGGCGCCTGGGTATTTCTTTGGTCACAATAAGTACTAAAAGTATCCTTTATAGGGCAATACCTAACACTGGGCTTGTGCATATACTTATAGGAGGTTCCCGTTGGTAACTTTTTCATTTTATATATATATTTTTACAGACAAAAGCTTTTATCCTTCTGACCCCTTAGTAACAGACCTAGACAAACTTGTGAAGGGTAGGCCATCAGCTGATTATAAAACATAGTCAAGATGCAGCCTTTTACGCAGATAATCCGTGGGCTACTTAGAGGTTACTTATGTAACAATGTAACAATGAAAAAAGTCGCTTCCTGTCTTTTATACATGACAACAAAATGTCAGATGAGCTGTTAGCAGATGGAGGTAGTGGGCCAGATGAACCTGTCAGGGTAGGACAGAATCCAGTGGTAACTCCGTGGATGTCTTCAGTGTTTTTAATACCGTGTTGCACCTTCTAAAATAGTTCAGTAACCTAACCACTGAGTGCAAAATTGCCTTTTCTTTATTCTTTACAGCCTCGTTTGGACCAAATTAATTCTCCATATGAAAATTCAGAATTGGCAGAATTGGACAAACTGAGGTTCAGGCATTGCCTTACAACCCTTACAATTCCAAGAAGATGTATAGGATTTGCGAGAAGACGAGTTGGCAGGGGTGGAAGGTACAATTGTGTTATTTTTACTTTGTTACCCTTTGAAGGATAAAAGTATTTAGAAAGAGAGAATTAAACTAACATCTTTTTTCCATCTTTTTTTAATCAGGGTTATAATGGACCGAATATCTACAGAACATGATCCTGTCTTGAGGCAGATTGACCCGGAAATGCTGAACAGTTTTTCAAGCTCTTCCCAGACTTTAGACTTTTCTTCTAATTTTTCACGGACCAATGCTTCCAATAAACGTTGTGAAAACAGACTGTCCCTTTCTGAAATACTAAGCAATATCAGATCATGTCGACTGCAGTGTTTTCAGCCAAGGCTACTAAATCTCCAGGACAGTGATAGTGAAGAATGTACCTCAAGGAAACCAGGGCAGACTGTGAATAACAAAAGAGTTTCTGCAGCATCTGTAGCTTTATTGAACACCAGCAAGAATGGCATATCAGGTAGGCAAGGGTTTAAATTCTTAAGGGACTGAAGTTATTAAATTTAGTGTTTTTTTGTTTTTGTACTTGGGACTGTAGTGGTAACATCTTCACTAGTGATATGTAACTAAAGCCAAGATGCAAGGTAACTATTTTATAGTTCTTAGAATTTTTTCTTCAAACAGTTCTGTTCCTCGTGCTTTAATTTGAGTTTTAACAGAATCTTGATGAAGTGCTAGACTCAAACATGCAACATGCAAAGGAGGGATTCTGCTTGTATGTCAGGATTGCTTACACGTGATTGAGTCTTTAGACATTTATTGGCCTAAAATTCTTTAGGGACAGAATTATGCCCTTTATGAATGCAAAAGAGAAGCAGTGAGGCTTTTTTGGGGGGTTAGGGTGGGAATACAGCAGCAACAGGGTCATGTTGCTTTTTTTTAAATCTTGCTAAACATCTCAAGAAACCAGCAGTGAGTTAGTAAACTTACTAAGCAGGCATGAAAAAGTTGCAAAACTGTGTTTTCTGTTATGTCATAGTAAAAATTTTGACAGTAGAAGCCTCCAGTGATGTAGACAGTCAGAGCATCCAGCATTCTCCACTATCAGAAAATCAACAAGTGTAGATTAAGAGCGATTTCCTTTTCCCTTAAAGGTGATCTCTTGCTCTCATTGCCAGTCTTTTGCTATTCAGCTTTATGACCTTTTTAACTCTAAATAAGCAAGACAGCAGTTCACGTACAAACAGTTTTACATTTAAAGTAAATAAAATCTCTAGTAATATCTTCACAAGAATACAAAATATATGCAATGTTACTCTGATCTTTGTATCCCTTGTTAGTTACCTGGATTTAACAGCACTTACGTTGGAATTAAAACTACCAGAAGCAAAAAAAAAAAAATGCTTTAAATTTACATTTTTGGTCTTATCTGCTTCATATACTAGGAACTGTAATTACTTAAAACTGAACGTTGTAACTTTTATACTAGTAAAAGTGTGTATGATTCTTTAAAATGCCAAACAATTCGAGAAATGCCAAAAGATCTATTACCAAGCATCAGTAAGCATCTGAGTATGTTCCTATCTATTGTGTACTTACAGAACTTGGTGTTGTAAAACAGGATAATTAGAGGATACAATAGGCTGATTCCGGATCCTGTAATTAACTTCATGTGGACTTGGAATGCTCCATCTCTTTTAAAATCAGTTGGAGGATTTGGAACTTAATCTGTAATAACATACCTTTAGAAATTCATGCGTAGAAATTGAATTTCCTGAAGACAAAAGCAATTTTCTTTACATGATGGTTTTAAAAGATTGAATGTTAGCTTATTAAGTAACATCAGTATAGTACTGACATAAGCACAGAATGCTTATTCCAGCCTAATACTTCTATACTTCATTTATTTTTCAATATAGTCATTGCAACCTTTACGTTGTGTTCTCTCTCTTGGAGAGATTTGCACAAGAATAATTTTCTGCTGTATGAAGAGAACGGATATAATGTGCTATGATCATATTTTGTATAATTTCTTTTTGTAAGGAACTTGAAGGGCTGGAGAGTTGCACCTGTAGCAGGAAGGGGCAGTTTTGTGTGATGGGATTATTGATAAGAATCAAGAGATGTGGTGTTAAAGCAAATGCAGAAAATAGAAGGGAATACTATTTGTCAGAGTTAAGGACGTGAAGCGTGGACCATAAGCTGTAAGGAACAACGAAGAATTTGCTGATAGTTCTTTATGTAAGAGGAGCAAGTAATACTGCAAGATTTGTTTGAATGAAAAAAGTATGATGACATCAAGGTAAGGAAAGTTGCTTAAAAAGATATAGGATAAGTTAATTTTTTCTATAGAATTTTTGATGATAGTATAATAAGTATTAATAGATTACCAAAGGATTAGCTAGATGTAAACTTAAAAGTTTACATACTTCTTTTTAAGGTTTTGAATGCTGCTGTGGAGACCTCTCTTTCCTGAGGATGGAGTACACCTAAAAAATGTAGGGTAGTATCTTGAGGTGGAAGCTGATGTATCTGAGTGAAAAAAAAAAGGTTGAAGAGATTTGTTAAATATCCATACCTGGCTTTAGTATGTAACAGCTAGAGGATGGATAGCACATAATAAAACAAAAATGAGAACAGCATTTTAGCAGTGTGTTCAGCGCAGGCGGGGGGTGGGAGGGAAGGGCTCTGTTTTGGTAGGGAATTGCGTATACATGGGGGAAAAAAGCTCTTAATCAGGTAACAGTCTCATCAAGACTAAAGAAGAAAATCGTTGGTGCTACATGGTAAATTAATGACAGAGCTCATATAATTACTATGATTACTAGCACTCACATACTGTAGGATTGGAACTGTTAGGGGAAGAACTAAAATGAAAGAATAAAGTAATATATATTTTAATGATAGAGATAACAGCGAAATATGTTAATGTATAAAACAAAATCTGATGGTTCCAAGCCACTTCATAGAGAAATGATAACTTGTTTACGTTGTATAATCCTGACAATCTGTCTGAAGACTACATTTGGGTGAGAATAGTGATACCTCAGTAGCTGAAATGCGTTATGCAATTTATGGTTTTGGAAGACCTTTTCCTTTCCAGATTGAAATCACAAAACAGATCTGGCAATTCTATTAAAAGATCAGATGCCATAAGGTAACAAAACTCTCTAGCAAGGAAGTGAGCCACCAAGAGGAGCTACGGTTCTAGATTTGCTCCTTAGTAAATGGCAAATAAATTTTAGAAGTGCTCAAAGTCTGGTTGTGCATTAAGTCAGCACAGGTCACCCTACTGGGTTTATTAAAATAATTCTTTGAGGGATAATTGTTGAAATCAGTTAATTCTATAGGAGATTTACCTGCAAGCATAAAGCAATGTGTGGAGAAAACAATGGCAGTACTAAAACTGTTTATTTTTAGTTTAGAGAAGACTTCGAGTTGCTTGCTTTAGCTTTTGTTGCACAGGAATATTTAAAGTTAATTGTGCATCATATTTTCACTTAATATTAAATAAAACTATTAAAATGGAATTTCCCTAATGCTAGGCACCGTGCAAGCAGCAAGAAAGACTTGGTGTCAGTAGCCTTTTCTTGAAAATGCCTAATCAGTGCATGACTAAAGAGCCCCTGTTCCACACTGATCTTTTTCTCTTGCTTGTGTTGTAACAACCCCAACTGGGAGAACTGAATTTGAGGAACTCTGAGACAAGGTCACTGAAATCATCTTATCCCTCTGATCAGTTGTGTAAACTTTCTGAAGTCTTGCCCGTTATAATCTGAAAAGCTAAGCTGGTCTCTTTGCCAAAGCCAATTTTGGAGGAATTCTGTTTAACCTAAAGTGAGAGAAACTGCTGATGGGATGCAGCTGGCTCTTAGGATAGGTGGTGGAGGAAGGAAGCTAGGAGGAACTTATAGGAACTTACAGATGGCACTACTGACATGGGCAAGCTCATATTTAACTGGCCGTCTGAATTTTGAGAGTGCAACTCACTTCATTTATAGAACTGAAGTAAGATAAAAACTTCAGGCAATTTTCCAGCGGTTTGCAGGACACCGTGTTGCGTTTGGCTTCCAGTCTGCTTCAGCTGCCCGTTGCAGTGACCCACTCAAATGGTATCTGTTTAGTTACCATGGCCATACAGAATAAACCAGCATTCTCAGCTGAAGAATTTGGCTTACGGAACAAGCTTTTACCTTTTAGAGGTATTTTTTCCAGAATTAAATACCATGGAGCAGTAATTAGATTACTGAAATACCGCCTTTTCGGGCAGCCTGATGGATGATCTTTGATTAAAGCCTTCAAATCCTAAGAGAAATGATACACTAATCTAAGCTGAAGATGTGAAGGAGGAGAGGAAACTAAAAGACTTAATTTCACATTGACTTTTTATGCTTTTCTGTTGTAGTACTTTGCTACAGCCAGATTGTGATAAAATAACTATAAAGAAAAATCCTGTTGGCAGTGGAAATTGAAGTTCTGGTAAATAGAAGCATTTAGGAGAAGTGCAGAACCCTTGTGCTTACCTGTGACCTTAAAGGCTACCTTGGGGTACTGTAGGAGTTGGATTTGTTAAAGACCCTTCATTTGTTTGGTTTTTGCAGAAGGAAATGATAGTAAACGTGCTAATGAGCAGCTGCTGTTTTATAGCAGAGCTCAGTGTGACCGAATAAACATCTGGTGACAGGTACCGAACCGAGTGGAGTTTAAACATGTCACTGCAGAGGAAGCAATCATTACATCACTGGGGTCATCTTCCCTGTAACATAGCTTTGTGTCAAACTGAGGAGGCTGAAAACATACAACTGACCCACAGGCTAGCCTTAAATTGGATGCTGGTTTGCAGTTTGAGGCTGTTTCCTACATTGTCTTTACAATTCATAGCAGAATGGGATTTTGAGTCTCAATAAATGTCCCTTAACCGCAGACGAATAATAGCGAATTGTGGCTAAATGTATTGTAGACGTCTCTTTGCATGACATATAAGCTGGTTCTGAAATATTTTTAACAAAACAAAAGGCATGTTCTGGAATTTGTTACCTCAGAGCTTAAAAATAGAATTGCATACATACGTAATGTTCCATAGCGCTCTTCTTGGCTCTGTTGCCTTTAGTAACGAAACACATTTTGGGAGCCTGTTGAGAGGGAACCTAGCAGGTTTAGCTGACTGAACCGGGAGTGAAAGGCTTGTAATTGGTAAAAATCCTCCTGGGGAACACTCAGCACAATTAATGGGGGGAGGGAATTTTAGAATATGTTGGAATTGATGGTAAAATCCCAATAATCTAATAGGATTAACTGTATGAATCACGGGATTAAGTGCCCTCCTTACATAGTTGAAGCTTGTTTTAACAATGTAGCAGTAGAGAAGAGGTTTCCCTAGTATTTTCTAAATAGCCAGTCTGCACTTTGGCACCTCTTCAGAAGAGAATTTCAGGACAGCCGTACTACAGGAGTGCTGCAGCCAGTAAATGAAAAACCCAGACCCTGTAAGATAGCTCACTTTGGGTTTTGTTAGCTCATTGTTTCTTGGTGACATAAACACCTGCATTCTGCAGGAATATCATTTGAGATGAATGACAGCTTCACTCTTAGGAAAATACAGTTCAAAATGTTGAAGTATAGTTAACAGGAATCTTTGAAAAATGAGTTCTTTTTACTTTTTCCTAAGAAAACTTAGTTTTCAGGTTAGTACTGGCTGCACAAAATTTGGGTTTAACCATTAAACACTAGGCAGTATTTTTATTTATCGTATTTGCAATTCTTGGGTGGGTGGATAGGATATTGAAAACCATTTTTCGTGACTGTGCCATTCCCTTCCTTACTTGTCGGGAGTCTGGTACCACTGGGGCAGTGCTAACTTGCTTCTTGCAAATAAATTCAGTATGTCACGCAGACTTTTTTCAGTGGAGCAAGCTTAATAGGAAAGATAATCCTGTTCAGGTGAAACTTCAGCAAAAAAATAAGGTGAAATTGGAAGGTCAGACTGGATTTGTTAAGTAAACATTGCTCTGTGCTATTTGCAAACATTGTTTTAGACACGGAGATTAGCTTTGTTGTTGTGTATTGGTTTCCCATCCTCTCAAGTGAGGATCGAAGTGCACTTAACTAGCTGGTGTACAGCCATACAAGTGATCCATGTAAGCTAGCACCTACAGATCGCATTGCTCTTCAAGTAGGTGTTGTCGAGTGTTAAAGCTGTGCTTCCTTCATGTAGCACCTCCTGGTATCAGAGGAGAGGGCAACAGTTAAGGACTATAGGAAGGTTGTACTGGAATAAACTGAAAGTGTTTACTGTGAGAGCTGAGCTTAGTGTACTTCTTCCTCAGTGTGATTTTTAGGGCATTCTCGTTCTCTGCAAACCAGGAAAAGAATTTCTCAAAGCTTTTGCTTCAAGCTGCCGGAGAGACAACTACCAAAGATTGAGGCTGCTTAAAAGCAGAGAAAGCTGTGAATCCTTTTGTTATAAATTGAATCAATGTTAAAAGAACACTATGAACAAGCTTAGTGTGGCCTCCCTTTTACATAGGAAAACATGAAAATCTTTGCAAGCATCTAACATGGTATAAGTTGTTCTCACCCAGTTGTTACCCAGCACTGGCCCATTCTTACATCTTAGCTGTATTTGTTTTGTGCAGGCATATTTCACACCGGCTTCCCTTTCTTTTCCGCAGTAACAGGGGGTATCACAGAAGAACAATTTCAGACACATCAACAGCAGTTAGTTCAAATGCAGAGGCAACAACTTGCTCAGCTTCAACAGAAACAGCAATCTCAGCATTCCTCGCAACAGACACATCCGAAAGCACAGGTAATGCACCTGAGAAGTCACATGCTTCCATCTTCCTTTTGCTTACTGTGGTTTTAATCTCTCATAAGCTAGATATAATTTTGTTAAAACAAAAATGTTATAAGTTTTGTTATAACTAGATATAACTTCAGTAAATAGGTTACATTTCAGAAGGAATATAGAACTAGTTTTGGTCAGGATGCTTTTCCAGTTTACTTTATAGTGCCTGAAAGATATTTGTGCCAGCTACAGCACAGACCATCTTTGTTTTCTCTATTTTGAATGAGAGTTTTTTAAACTTCAACCCCAAAACCTGTTGGGGTGGGGTGTTTTCTTTATCTGTATACTGTAACTGAGCTTTAAAAGTTTGAGCAGCAAAGTTTATTTGCTGGTAATTGTGTGTTACAGCAATCCAAATGTAGTGTTTTCCTTTGTACTTGCATAATTTTAAAGAAATAAAAATACCTATTTTCTCATCCCTGCAGGGCTCCAGCACCTCTGACTGTATGTCAAAAACACTTGATTCAGCCAGTGCCCACTTTGCTGCATCTGCAGTGGTTAGTGCACCTGCTCCGAGTCGCAGTGAGGTAACGAAGGAACAAAACACCAGCCACAACAATATTAATGGTGTTGTCCAGCCTTCAGGTGATGATTTCTTAAAACTTATTATCTCATGCAGGGTTGAGACTATGTCAAACTGGCTTATTTTGTATTTTCAGAATAATGTATTTGAGTTTGTTATAGCAGTAGTAGTAGCAGCAGCTACAGTCTTAAATGTTACTTTTAAATAATCTTGTGCAATGGCCTGCAGGTTAGTATGGTAATAACTGTTTGTTTACAATACCAAGGGTAAAATTGTTTCTGTTTTCTTTTGTAGGCTCTATCTCTTAATAATCTGTTACAATAAATACATTACTGCTAACACTTTAATTACACATTGACAGTTAAAAAAAAAAAAATGCTTTAAAATAGTTAAATGCTTTTAAAAGAAAGTAAGAAGTTGCTATGTTGTCTGGCCATTATTTCACTTCCATATTTAGATGAAATTCTACTAATCAACTACTTCTAGCAGCTCTTTTGACATTACCATAAATTTCAGATGTCATTGTACTTAATACAATTTGGAATTCCTTCCAAATTTAAGTGAAAGTGTATACAGTGGCATTCACTACCTGACTTCAACACCCCATTTCTGGTCCTGTGTTACCAAAGGAGCAGTGCTGGTCAGGCTGGTGCAGTTGCCATGTTACCAGGAGAGAAATGTTATTTGGAATTTGCCATAACAAATAAAAGGCTTTCATGTTAATTTGTAGTTTTAATAGCTAACGATGTGATCAGTTTTATAGACCTTCTGCCAGGCTGGGTTAATAATGAAATGAATAGGAGAAAACACAGCTGAATAAAATCAATATACTGGAACAGTTCCAGGAAAGAAAAAAAGACAACTATGTATAACTCGCTATAATATATATCTGAGAGGACAGTGTTTCGAGGGGTATAAGATCAGGCACATGTACCATGCTGATATCATCTTTATGACTGATGAAAAACATTGCAAATATGCACATAAAATTAGATTTGTGTTACTGTTCCATAGCTGTAAATGACAGTGATAGAAAATAGCAATTCCAGCTTCATACAGGAAGGTTTAAATTAGGAAATGTTAGTTGAAGACAGCGTTTTGCAGGAATAGGGGAAAAAAAATGCCTCATTCCACTGTTATCAAAACCAGATCAGTGTTTTCAACCAGATCAGTGTTCTCTAGGAAACTTGAGAACCTTTGGGTTGAATATAAGCTGTGCCTGATTTTTAGCTGGAATTTGAACCCCAAATTTCCTACTGCTCCAGTAGTGCAGACAGCATTACTGCATAATCTGGAAGGGAGCTTCTGTATTGCCTGGTCCTGGACCCCAAGTTTTGCTTCCTTGAGGGATGCTGGTCCCCAGAACCTCTCTATGTTGCCAGTCAAACAAGGTGGGAAATGAGGAGGTCCTTCAAAGCATCAAAACTTGGCTTCTTTGTTGGTCTCTGTGTTGCCTAGCTGAGGCGTGAGCTGTTTGATTTACTTTTCTGGTGAATGTTGCCCCTTAATTTAAGACAGTACATTATGAATGTACCTCTTAATGAGGTACATTAAGCTCAGCAATACAGAACCTCTTTGTGATACCGGTACCTTCTTTACTTTCTGATGGTTTCATGAATTAAGTTCTTAAGATTGGTAGTGTAATCTGGGAATGTTTCTAAAACTTGTATATTTTGATTCTTCAAAACAAATAACCTACGTGCAGGATTCCAGTGACATGTATGCTTAAAACATTACCACTGGGGTTTAACCTTTGTCTTTGAATCTAAGTAATGGCATATTTTTAATTAATAATGTTTGCTTTGTAACAGGAACCTCTAGAACGTTGTACTCCACCAACATGGCTTTATCATCCAGCCCAGGGATTTCAACCGTACAGCTTGTAAGGACAGTTGGCCACACCACCACAAACCACTTAATTCCAGCATTGTGCACAAGCAGCCCTCAAACTCTTCCCATGAACAATTCTTGCCTGACTAACGCAGTGCACCTCAACAATGTCAGTGTTGTTTCTCCAGTCAATGTGCATATCAATACAAGGACTTCAGCACCATCGCCAACAGCCTTAAAACTTGCCACAGTTGCTGCCAGTATGGACAGAGTGCCAAAGGTAACTCCTAGCAGTGCCATCAGCAGTATAGCAAGGTGAGTGTGTTGCACGCTGGTGCACAATTGTCTTACACCTGTGCTACCTGAATAACTCCTGAATAATACCTGAATACCTCAGATGTACCCAGCTCCCCACAAGAGCACTAAATAGAATCATTTCCCCCTCTGAGATTCCTTGGGGTAGCTTCAGCCTCACAAAAACATCCAGCTGCTGGCATCTTCAGCACGACTATGACAAACGATAAGAGACAACGCATGCTGTCTTTTTGCAGATTAATGCCCAGATAGGTTCTGCTGATTTTTGGCACGCTGGTTTTGGTAAACCTCAGTGTGTTTAAATGGCTTCGTTTTAACCTTTTTCATTTGTCCCTTCTCATTGCAGCCCCTTCTAGAAGACTCTCAAACTCTACAAGTTGTCTCTAAAGCTTTATGTAGCCATATTGTAAGATGCAAACTGGCATATCTATTTTATACGTATATATGTGTGTACACATTTTTATATGCAAAATAGATATGAGGCAGCCTGCATCTTATATTCATATATTAAAAATACTTTATAGAAAAATATATAAAATTATTCATATAAAAATATACAAAATTCATAATGACTAGCAGCATTATTGTTTTGGAATACCTAACTAGATATTTGACAAGAGTGGCAGGATTTTGCAGTTGGCTAAATTTACTAAAAAGGGCAGTATTTGGACTTGTTTTGAATGTCTCTGCTGGATTGTACGATGCTCAAAAAAGTCAAATCTGTTAATGGATTGATAAATCAGAAAAAGGGCATTAGCAAATGTGGCTTATGGATTATTTCTCGATGCTTCTGGAGATGTTAAAAAGAGCTTCTGAGATGCAAAATCACGTGTATAACGTAGTCGCTGAATGGAGTGAGGAAAAGCTATTCTTAAATTAGTAATTGTGCTTTAAAGCATGCCTCTATAGCATTAGTCTCTTTAGCTGTTATTTCCATAAAGTCAGAGGGATATTTCAAGTAGTGTCAGCAAGTGCCTTAAAAAGAACCACCTTGGCTGAATAGGCCTTAGGCTTCTCTACAGGGAATGGTAATACATTCAGAAAGAAATTAAGATTTCTTGTGCTAGTGCTGAAATGAAACAGAAAAAAACAAACAGGTTAGAACAATGCCTTGCTCACTAATAGAATAATTGGTAGTTGATACAGAGTCGTATTGGCCTATCTTGACTTTGTTCCTTCAGGAGACTTTTTATTACTCTTATCCATAATTTAGGATGGTAATTTACAGTAAAATGCAATGAAGTTGGGTTGTCTTTGTTAATCTCATAGAAGGGACTGCAGTGTTAATGGAAGTTCTTAAATGCCAGCACTTAGTTGTGTGATCTGTTTCTAGTGTACGCGTTGAGGTTTGTCCCTGATCCAAGTAATAGCTGTGTAAAAACACACAAAGCCTGTAAGAAATCATTGAAACTGCCTAAGGAAATATGTTAATTCTACCTCTAATTATTGAATATTTCTTCTGTTGCAGAGAGAACCATGAACCAGAACGACTGGGTTTAAACGGCATAGCAGAGACAACAGTAGCAATGGAAGTGACATAACCTCAAACCAGTGTCTCAACCTGTGCTAATGGTGTAGTCATTTATATTCCAACTGAATGCAAAATACAGCACTCTGTGGATCACAGAGAACTAAAATGGACCTAAATGGACTATCATTATATCGTGTATTAAGTCGATATATAATGTAAATTTTGTAAAATTGGGAAAATCACTACCTTGTAAAATAGTTTATTTGTATCATCAATATTATTTCTGTTACTTGAATAGTAGATATTCATCATCATGCTTTTGCACTTGAATTTGCAACTGAATGGATTAAAAAAATAATTCTTTAATGGGATCATGAGCATGAAATGGGATCCTGCATCACTTGTTTTAACTATTTATTTTGCCATGTTTACATTTTGTATCTTGTACAAATAAATCCAACTTTGTGTCTAAAAAAAAAAGTTAAAGATTCATAGCTAGGAGACAAAATTCTTGTAATTTTTTTCTAAAGGAAATGTAAAGTTTTCACTTGGTTCATTTTGTTTCACAATTTGACTAGATGGACTTTTTGGTAAATACTTTAGTGGCATTTCACTGTCAAATATGAAGTTCAAGGCAAAATAGTATTTTCTATTACTGTGCAGGGGAAAGGGATGGATCGATACATGCAAATTTAATGTAGTAACTCACTTTTCCATATATTTTGAATGTATATTTCTATTTATAATACCAGTTTATAAAAAATAATTACACAGGAAAAAAAAACTGACTAGGAAAATTATGCATCTAGCACACATGAAATTGTGCAGATATGAGAAAATTTTCAACTGATTACATTTTATCTGAAGACTGCATATTTTAACCGGCTTTAAAACTGTAACACACCACATAAAGGATATTTTACCAGGTATGTATTGCATTATATATCATTGCAATAATTATTGGATGTCTAGATATCGAGCCATCCCAGGTGGTGGGGGGGAGGGAGGGTTGTGGCAAGATTGTCTTTTCAATTTTGGAGAGTTTTCCTGTGGCTACAAGGCAAGTAACGGGTTGGAAAAAGTCTGACTGTAAGCGTTGGACACCTTCGTAGTGTAGTGTTTTAGTGACTTTTTTTATACGGTTCTTGTAAATTAGATACGTGTAGTGGTGTTTCAGAATGTTTGTTTATGCACTAGTTCAGACAACTTTCCCTGTTACTTGTTCTTGATAAGTGAAAACTGCAGGGAAATAAAAATACATATCAAAACATGGACATGTTGCATACGTGTTTATTTCACAAAGTGCAAGCAGTGTAAGCTTTAGGTGATGTGAGAGGTCTCTTGATGGCTTTGACTGGAGCACGTGCACTTAACTCTCCAAAAGGTTTTGGTTTGTGATTTCTTTCCTGGCTCTTAAAGTATACAGTAGGGGAGGGATGGTCCAGTAGACTTGGAAATGATCAGGACAAGGGACAATTTCTTGTTCTGCCAGATACTATAACCTCAGATATTTTCTTGGTCAAATCATTTGAATTTTCTGCTGTTTGGTTCTCCACCTGTAATTTGAGTCATGTTCCACATTTCTTATAAATCACAGAATCTTGGAGGTTGGAGGGAGCCTCGGGACATTGTCTGAGCAGCCCCAAGGTTGGGTTACCTTCACAGGGCTTCATCACCAGATAATGGTTGCCAGGTTTCAGATTATTACATTAAGTACTTTTGCTTCTGAAGGAAATTACTTGTAACCACCAGCAGCTGGAAGATTTGCTTCCTGTAAGACATACTTTGGCAGAAACAAGCATGCTACGGATCAGTTGTGAGGGACCATGCAAAGTAAAGCTCACAGGTTAATTTTCTGCTAGTTTTTGTAATTTATATTCCTGAAATTTGGAATGAATTGTTACCCCTGTGAAGAGGTGATGTAGGCATAGATCTGTGCTCTTTTCTGAGCCAACCCTCGTTGGACTGCAGTTAGCATGGCAGTTTGGTGTTTTGATTTTTCTTTAAAGTATCTAAAAGAATAACTTGTGCATCTTTATTTTAAAAAAGTGTGATATTTTACCCTGTGTGTCATGAAGTCAGTATATTTTTTCCTCTTAAATGTCATACAGAGAGCTTCTTTTGATTTAAGTTGTGCTTAAATGTGTTTTGTCTTAGCTTCTGTGAGTTAAAAATGGGCAGTTAAACTCTGAGAGCTTGTTGGAAACTCAATACCTAAAATCAATTATTTTTTTTTTTGCATAACTGGTGCTTTATTTTCTCTCTCAAGTCCACAAGGAGAGAAGATACCAGACTGTATCTTTAGAGAATACTCGGAGGGATGCATGGCACTTCAGTAGTACTGCCTTGATCAGGCAAAACATAGCAGCAGGACTGGGGTTTTCAGCATGAGGGAGAGGCTTCTCATGTCTGTCTCAAGTTTTCTGTAGAAGGAGATTCACTTCTGGGCACAACAATTATGCAGTCTGAAGCAGGAATTAAATTTTTGGAAGCAGAACTGTTGCAAGTGTGAGTCAGGAAAGAGTTATTCTCCTTGATACCTAAAAAATAACCTTATTTTGTAACCTAGCCCCAAAACCTTTAATAAAAATGTAAAGTCACTTTCTTCTGCAGATTGAAAGCTGTATGCTTAGCAAATCAGAGCTCCTGAGACCTGTAGTAGATGTTCTTTTACAAATGTAGATCATTTTCATGGTAAATTGGACTGATTGCTATGTATCTGTGACTTGATATAGTCTAATCCTCATCTAATTACTTGAAAAACCTTTAGCTGCTGCTTCTTCTAGCTTTTAATAGATTCTGGAAAAGTATGAGGTGGAGGAAAGGATTTCATAAATTCCAAAGGTAAGCATGCCATATGTTGAATGAGTTTCATTTAAAGTATTGGGATTGATGTAGCTTTCCAGTGAAATAGAACTAAAATAGTCTTAAGAATTCCTAGTAATTAATTGTGGGCCTGAAGTGCTGGAAAAGGAGAATGATGAACAATATTGGAGTCTGTAGAAATACTTCTTAAGAGGAAAAAAGAAGTCTTCTACATTCTCCTGACACTGGAATATGGAGGGGAATACCAATAACTGAGTTGTTTGTGTGCACTGCATTGAAAGTGTGTGTTGAAATTATGCCATTCTTTCTTAATCCCCTTATTTGATCATAACACAACTGCAATCTGATTGGAATGGTGGTTTCTGTTTTGGTATGGATTCAGGAGCATTGTTCAGGTAAGATTTCTTGAATTTAGTTTATCTGCAGCAATTTATATTGGACTTGAAGTGAGATGTGTGGAGCCGTACTTTAAATTCCAGATTCTATAGAAAAACATTCTTTTTCCTAGTTGTGTTTATCTAACGTGTTTAATCTATAGATGATCAATTGAGTTCTGACGTGTGCTTAACTGCAGGAATTGTGACTTTTGAATGTGAACTTTCCCTGTATGAAGCCAAGTACTGATTGTTCTAATGGGGGGGAGGAAGATGAGCTCAGGTGGGGCTGAACCAGACTTTAATCCATTAATATTTGGCCTCACTGCTTAGCATTTAAATGCTTAAAGCTGAGAACTTCCAGAAGTCCTGTTTTGTCTCCTGAGCTGTGCTTGTGAGAGCTCTGCAGTTGCTGGATGCGCAACCTGAAGCAAGAAAACTATTCCAAAGCGACTCCAGGGGGTGACTGACTTGTCCTGAAGTGGGCTCAGCATCATGCTTACGGCTAGTCAGCACAATCTCAGTTTCCAGCACCTTTCAGGAAGAACTGCTCAGACCTTTCAAAGTGTCCTGGGAGGAGCTCCCACCTTCTGAGGAGAGGGCTCTGAAGGCTGCAGCGCACTAAGCGCTCCTAACGCAGGTCAGTCATCCCCTGGACTTCCTGGATTTGATTTCAGAGAAAGAGTTTCAAATCTCAAAAACCTCAATTCCCTATTTCTATTTTTAGGTTTTGCAGTATTCAGACTTCAGATTAGAAAGATGGAGAACAACGTTCAGAAGTTAAAGCACATCTTCACAGTAAACCCCTGCTCAGAAGAGAAGGAAGGAAGGAAAGACATCTCTAACAGGCAGAGATGTTTCCTGTGGAGCAGCAGACCAGGCAATATAAGTGAGGTTAGCTATTAAGATCAGAATGTTTGCATTTGAACAAAAGCAAGTGGAGGATAAATTGTTTTCTTCTAATGCAACCAACTCATTATGTTGAAGCCCTTAGATATGAACAACAGCAGTCTGCCTCTGAGCCTACCGATCTTTACCAACCTAACAGCTCTTTGTAGAGTCCTTAAATGCATTTAGTGGCAGCATTTCTCTTTTTAGTAAGTCAGTGACAGTGTGAGAGTAGTGTATGTAAGAAATGGGAACACATCTGGGTGAATATTTTGTAAAGCTTTACTTAAATGGCAGGTAGGTGAATGCAAAGTTGCACTGTTGAGAGAATAAATATTGTTTTTATCTGTTTGGTAAGAAAGTCCATTGGCTAAGAATATGGTGAGTTTGAAAGGGGCTGCAATACTGATGTTGCTCTGTCCTTTTAAGCAGCGAGCTTACCAAGTACTTAACCTGTGTGTTATCCTCCTGCTAGTGAACACAGCTGACTTAAAGCAGTGGGTTTGCAAACACGGTTGAAGAGACAACGTTGCCCAAAAGATCCTGTGCAGAAAATGAGATGTCTTGAGCCTTCTGTGGCAGAATTGCTTTTTTCCACACACCCTTGTTACGCTGTTTGTTTTCCAAAGATAGGACAGTTGCTGTGAGTAAGAATGGGGAAATCTGTTAAGTCCCATCTTGTTTCAATCCATTGCACTCTGATTCAACTGTAATACAACTGTAATTAACACAGGGAGGCTAAAATAGATAAATTAGAGAGCAAGGGGTAAATGAAGGAGGGAGACAATTCATACTAAACTATAGCAGATAACGATATGAAACAACGTGTAACAGAACAGATACAGCTTTGCAACTCTGATCAGGCTAGCAAAAAGCAAATGGGGCAGGAGACAACTGACCAAACTGGCACAAAGACCAGTTCCAGTTGCACGTTCAGACCCTGTGCAGCATCCCACCACCTTTTGGTGCTTCCCCTGGCAGCACAGCCCTGCTTCAGCAGCCCCAGCTGCCCTGCCCCGGCCCTGGGGACAGGCTGGTGGCAGCAAGCCGAGAATCAGTCGGTGCCAGCCTAGCGCTTGCTTTCCCACCCTCACTGTTAATGCTTTGCTGGCTGCTCCTGAATTAATGTTATTTCATCGAACCTTGCCCTGGGGATGAAGTGATGCTTAAACTCCCAGCAGCCCCCATCTTCCTGATGATGATCTGACTAGACTAGTCACAGTGGCTTTAAATCAACAGCTTCGGAAATGACACCAGAAGATGGCATCATCTGCCTGTAATGCTGTTTAACTCTTTCTGGACCTCAATGGATAAGTGTTTTTCTTTTTTTTTCCTTCAACTTGATTTTTTTGGACAGTGAGCATGTTGTTCTCCCTCGAAATAAAATTGAAGAGTGTGAAGGTTTTGTGGTTTTTTGATCGAATTGCCTTTTCTTGGGTGCACATTGCTTCTTGTAATCAAGGAAAGCAAATCCAATTTTTTCAAGTTCCTGTTCTTTTATTTTGGATGTTTGAGTAACACACAAAAAGTAACCTGGAAGAAATATTTTGAGTGTCGAATAAATGTGTTGCCATTTTATGCAAAGTGGTAAAAATCAATTTTTTAAGCAAAACCATTTTTACAGATGGGTAAGCACTCTATATAACTGCATAATGTGAATAATTCATTTGAAGATTGAGATTTATGTGTGTACTGAACATACTTAGATATGCACTTTAAGCATCTTGAAGTGTTTTCCAAACTGGAGACAATGGCTGCTCTTACACTCCCTGCTAGTGTAGCTCAAAGACTTTCAGGTGGAATATCTGTCTACTGGCAGTACTCTTCCAAAATGTGACCTTTCTGTGAAGGTGTGCTGGCTTCGATTATTTACTTGTTTGTTTTTTTCCTTAACTGATCTAGGTATTGCTGTTGGAATGAGAAGTAAGGAAGCAGAAGTTTTAGTTAAGGAACATCTTGCAAGAAGGGGAAAGGAGCCCCTAACTAAAAGAAACCCCTGTGCCCCCCTATCAGCAAAGACATCATTACCTGCCTGACCAAAGGAAATGTTGCTTGAGGGATAATCATCATGGGTGACCAAGTGTTAGTTATGTACATCCCATATATCTTGTTATTAAACTTGTAGCTTGCCTGGACAAATGGTCTGTAGCCCAAAATCTCCTGAGCTATTACCAGGCCTCCTTGCC